TTAGCATCCCATCCAGTGGCCACTGGGACTGTTTCCCCAGAGTTAAAGAGGTAGGGATGTGACCCTGATTAATCTCTTCTTCCACGCAGTGCCGAGGTTAAGAATAGTGGAGCCATAACTCCATGTCGAAGAACAGGGACGACTTTACCTTACTTTACCTCTATCACGGAGACGTATAAGAGTCTCAGTGTACAATTCTTCGCTTTCTTAACTTAGATATAGTTGCAAGTAAACAGTGAGCTTCATGATCCTGTCGTTTTATCCTCAGACCTACGGAGACGAGGTGAGTCCCAGAACTGTTCTAGGCGTGATACAGAAGAGGAAGATGACATGAGCAAAAAGGTAAAACTGTCCCTGTGCATAATTAATTATGGGAGAGTGGAGGTATAAATCCACCATTCGTGACCTAGGCACTAGACGGGATGGATAGTCAGTTTCACGCCCAAACTTCTTTATCCCCAGCACCCACTGGATAGGATGGGTGGACCCTAGGGCTGGTGTGAACATTGTGGTGAGGCGACAAATCTGCTGGGAATTGAATCCAGGCCGTACAGCTCATAGCCAGTAGCTATACCGACTGAGCTATCCCGATTCCTGAAAAATAGTATTAAAAAGACAAACTCCGTGGCCTGTAGTCCGCAAGCGAACTATGCCGACCAAGCTATCGCCGTTTTTCGGCGAAGTTAGTGCCAACTTTAGAGGATTAGGGTGTCCCGTTGTCAGGGTAACGAATTCCCACGGCCGTTAATTTCGGTTTTCTATACCGGAGCCGCTATTTCCTTGAAATATCTCCTCAATTATCATCACGAAGCTGAGTGGACCCGTTCCAGATCCATTACTTCTCAAAAAAATAATCTGGCAGCGCCGTGAATCGAACCCGGACCTCTGTATCTGTAGCCAGGAATTCTGACCAACAGACCACAGAGGCGGTTGAAAAATGGTATAGGAAAATAAAATTTCGCACAACGAGTGCTACATAAAATGTTAAGCAGTGGGTGTAATGATACTTCTAACTCTCAGGTTCTTACCTGAAATCAACTTTATCGGCATTACCATTGTTACCAGAGCAGCTGGATAAATAACAATAACCATACGTTCCTGGCTGGGAACTCCGGTATCCCCACAGACGATCTTCACGGGTTTCCTGTGTAACTGAGGCATAACATAATTACATACTTCCCTTATAATTTCATTGTTGTGGTTCTCATGGCAACGCATAAGCTTTTAGTATATATTTATATTCCTGTCCGGCCGACCTCATGCCCTTACATCCTGCAGTGCATCCCAGTTTATAGTACGCATTCTAATGAAATGCTTACTCACAGTCGTAAGTTCACGAGAGCCGTGTTGCTCGCTGCTCATCCTCTACAATTGGTGATATGCTAACCCCCAAATTTTCGGCGGCCCGGGTTCGAACCCGGGTCTGGTCAAGTTGGATTTGTGGTGGACAAAGTGGCGCTGGGGCAGGTTCTCTCCGAGTACTTCGGTTTCCCCTGCCAATCTTCATTCCACCAACTGCTCCACAATCACCCTCACCTATTATCTGGAGCTGGTACAATATGCCAGAAGGGGCCGCAGTACAAGGAACTTAGTCCCACCCCATTAACAATAATAATAAAAAAAAAATCGTCTAAATTTTAGAGTTTGCATGAACTAATGACCTGGGTCACCGTGGCTTTCTTTTCAAACAATTTCTACTCATAGGTCTATAGAGAGTTGACAGCCAGCCCCTGGACCTATGCCTCGATGTAAATGCATAATACTGCTTTCAAGTGTATGTAGACATGTTGAGAGTTATTTTATTTACTCTCCGTTCATAATGCTTTAGAGAATCTGTCTTCTGTCTTTCTGTCCTTGTTCTTGTTGCTCCCACTTGGAGCACAGGAACATTTCGTTTCAGTTCAGTTTCTTAATTTTAGACATTCGGTAGGACTCCTTGGACGGGGGATCAGCCCGTCACAAGGCCGCTTGCTACAAACAAGACAACACACACAAAATAAACGCAGATAAACATCCATGCTTTGAGTTGTATTCGAACCCACGATCCCAGTTGCTTAGAGGGCAAAAACAGTTCCCGGCTTTGAACGCGCGGCCACTGTGATCGGCATTTTAGTGAATGAACTTCTGTTATTGTATGATATTAACTCCCAACTGGAAAATCGTATATGTCCTTGCCCTTTATTTTCGAAATACCTGGGACTATACCGATTAGGTTTCGTACTGTTTCCACTAGGAAATACTGCCAGTTGTATGAGTGACTGTGGGTGGGGTTTGGACTGGTAATCGGATTTACTAAACCCTTACAGATCCGTGTCTACAAGTAATTATAACCATTTCACTATATCGCACATTTTACGGTTCACTAGAGCACTGCTGTCTTCACCAGTCTCTGGCAATGGCTTCCAACGTCGGACGTTTCCCTTCCTCTGGGTTCCCGAACTGTTCCCTTGCCCCAACTACTCGTACAGCAACTCTCGACTATCTAACCAAATAACTAAATAACTAACTGTCGGTCGGTGGGTCCGTTATATTGCTGCTAGCCTTCGCCAGCACAGTCACTCCTGGCTTCGGTCTCCAGGATATCCATGACCAAGATACTGATTGCCTCTTAGTCGTGTACATGTTTCTAAATGAAGCCTCCTCTTCGACGAAGGATGAGTCGGCCTTTCTATATAGGTGCTACGTTCGTTGTACCGTCGTTTCAGCACTAGCATATCCGCGCTGGCAAGGTGTCCAAGGTCATATAGACTTGTCTTATAACTTCTCGACAAGGAACGCATACAAAATACCGTTTCCCATTATTGTGCAATTGTTGTGTTCGTGGAAATATTCTTCTTTGCTGTGCCGTTACTTATCAACGGCTTTTTTTATATTTACTTATTTCGCAGTTGTTGCCTAGGAACGGGTCTACGTGCCACAACATGATAGAAAACGTCATTTGTATTCGTTCTGGCCAAATATGGTCCATACTCCACACAGTGCGCATACTCCTGATATAAGCCTACTGTAATAAACATGTTTTGGGGTAGAAACTGCAAATACTGTATTTTGCTACAAATTATTTCTATTAACCCTATAAATCGTCGAGTAAAGAAGCCAAAACTATTATTCTCTAGAATGAAGAAGAAGTTACCGCCGCTGTTGGTAAAAAAACCAAATGGAAGTTGGTAAAACTTCTAAGTCTTCTCTGTACACAACTTACCAATAATAATGTTCCATTTTGAAATTACTTATTATTTAATCATAAGTTTACTAGAATACGCTGAACTCTAAAGCTTCAGTTCATAACAAAACATGTTTCAACTAGTACGACGTCGCCTTCAAGCTGATTACGTGTTGTACTTGCCGTGAGGTGACACACTGCCAGTTGCATACTTGTGATACACAGACGATGCACTGGCTTAAAATTTCTAACAGAATTTAAATTTTGTGCCAGGTAAAGGTGAAAATGTGCCGGTCACGGTAGCCGAGCGGTCTAAGGCATGTACTGTCTTCGCTCACTTGGAAACCGGGATCGTGGGTTCGAATCCCACTCAGGGCATGGATGTTTAGTTTGTGTGAGCGTTTTTCTGTGTTTGTGTACAAGTAGAGGCCTTGCGACGAGCTGATCACCCGTCCAAGGAGTCCTACCGAATGTGTAAGATCTAGAAAAACAGAAGTGAACGGAGAAGTTCATGGAGGTAGGCCTAAGCCCACTGGGGCTGTAGTGCCATGGGGGGGGGGATAGGTAAAAGTGTAAGTTGTCCCTGTGTTCAATTACTTAAGCACTACTATGAAGACGTATCGGGGAATCGATATATATAATGTTCTTGACCGTGGCACTAGATGGAAATGAGAAGCCAGCTTCAAGCCAAAGCCGCCTTAACCCCGGGGAAAGAGCCCTCGGTACCTACTGAATAGGAGGCTGAGTCCCAGAGCCAGTCTGGATGCTGTGGAGTAGAAATGAATCCCTTGCCTCTGCCAGGAATCGAACCCAGGCCGTCCATCCCGTAGCAAGTCTCTATAACGACTGGACTATCCTGAATTTTATTAAATTCGAGGATAAATTAGAAGCGGGACCAACGTTAAGACCTAGAATTTTTATTTCACATGTTATTTGATATCCTGAATATTTAGTGTAGAATGTAACGCGCTTAATGCTGTAACAATGAGTTACTGTGGTTTCCGCAGTATTAGTTCTGTACTTACTTACTAACCAATGGAGCTGAGCCCTTCTTGATGAACCACCAATTCTGCAGATACTCGACAATTTCCCAACATTTTATGGAACCCGAAGGTTCATTACCGTGTTCACAAGGGCCCTCCACTGGTTCATATCCTAAGCCAGATCAATCCAATCCATACCATCCCATCCTATCTCTCTAAGATCCATTTAATATTGTCCAACCACCTACGTCTTGGTCTTCCCAGTGGCTCTTTCCTTCTGCCTTTCCCACAAATATCCTACATGCATTCCTCGTCCCCTCTACTCGTGCTACATGCCCTTCCCACCTCATCCTCCTTGACTTAATCATTTAATTATACTTGGAGAAGAGTACATGTCATGAACACAAAGCCTCGGATCTAGACGGGCAATATTAGTTGTGTATCAGTAATACATGTACACCAAGGTCGTAACGGAAAGATGTGGCGAGAGCGCACCGGTACTCCACTGGAGTACAGCCGTCATCTCCTTTTACGTTACCAGTTGTGTATAATTTTCCACTCAGTGGCTTTTCAGCCATGTTTATATTTTAGTTTTCATCATATAGAACTTCCTAACAGTTTCATTTTACGCTGCACATAGCCAATATTCTTATGGCTTGAAAGTAGTGGATACCCTTGGCAAGTGGACAGCCCTCTACCCGTAGACTAAGTCGTCACAAAAGAAAAGGCTGTTCAAGATGGCTGTTACTTACGACTAGAAAGATATATTGGTAGCACAAGTCACATTTCGAAAGCTAATTGTTACTGTGAAACTTATTGGGTGGTTTCACGTTTATTGAGCATTTAAAACTTACTGTACTATTCAGTCATGTTGCATGCCAGACCCCATGGAGGAGCCACAGTGGAGAAGCCTCGGTCCTTCTGAAACGAGAGGAAATCTGTTTAGAATTTGAAAGTGTTGTTTCTTCAGCATTACTTAGTACCAGTATGCGGTATCTTACAGAACTGAACAGTAACATCGACATTAATTGGATACTGTTAATTGTCCGAGACATATTTGATGTCATACTTCTAAAAGAAGTTCTTGAAGGAAAGATAGAGGGGCGGATAGAAGTGACCAGAAGACGAGGAAGAAGATGTAAGATGATGCTGGATGACCTTGGGGACAGAAGAGGATACTGTCATTTGAAGGAGAAAGCTCTAGATCGCATTAAGTGGAGGAACTGTTTTGGAAGAGAGTGTGGACCTGTCGTCTTGACAGATTGCTGATGAATGAACTAGACGTTTTAAGAACTGCCCCTACTCTACTCAGTTAATTAGTTGTCATTATAATCCTATACATATTTTGCTTCTTGTTTTAAGATTGGTTTCGTGGGTTGTGATCGAACCGGATGGTCCAGCGGCCACCGTGCTAGCCAAGAAGTTCGGGGTTTAATGTCGGCAGTCATCGATAATCTTAAAATAAAAATAAAGAAATCTCTCAGCAAATGACAAACACCCGAAGACGGGAGTAGAATCAACAGTCTAAACGTCGCATATGTCAAATATATCTGATGCTCTAACATAATATTTAAAGGCCCGTTAATAAATCAACTACTGTCACAAGAATTTGAGTGCTCAGAAAAGATCTTTCGAAAAGCTAATTAACCGGTCTGTGTGTGTGTTCTTTGAACCGTATCCAGAAAAAACTAAAGGCATAGTGTAAATTTTATTATTATTATGCAAAATGTGAACATGGATAATGTAGAATATTCGCCGATTTGATCTTCTTAAGGCCAATTCTGCCCTGAAATATTGCCTTCAATAACACAAATAAATGTAAACCCTGTAACATCTCACGGAATCTGGGATATATATAGATGCTGTTTATAATGAAAATGGTTGGAAATATACAAGCACTCTACAAATTCCGGACAAAGAAGTTCTTTGTTCTATAATTTAAATTTCGCATGTAAATAATTTATATTCAGCGGAAAGTTGAAATCCAACGCTGAAAATTACAGAAAATTCTTAAGTTCAAACCCTCACTTATCAGATGAAATTTTACCGATTTTTGTTAACTACATGACGCTGTCGGTACAAAAAAATACCGATAACTCAGAATAATTCATGAGCCTTACTTTCCTTCAGCCGCTCCCGTCTATACAGTAAGGTTAAAGGAAGTATAAACTGATAATCACACAATTCCGTGATCCATATATGAGCATAATTTCCACCATTACAGATCCCCAACAAATTACACTTGTAAGATGTAAACCAAAATTCCGCACGTTCGCCATGTTTCTATTTTCAACAGCTAGAGAATATTTCATATTTCTTAAAACTGATGATTAATGAATTACAGCCTTCAACTGGAACGTCAAATATACATTTCGTGAGATGGCGGAGAAAGAACTTAAAGATAAAGATGAAGTTTTTCCTGTGAGGATGTATTGGCGAGTGGAGGTACAACTCCACTATTCCTAACTTCGGCATTAGAGGAGGTAAGCTGTCAGCTTCACGCCCTTGCTGTATACCCGGAATAATAAATCTACTTCCCATTGTGTCAGAGCCGGTACTGACACTGGAAAAAAGTTACTTGCCGTAGCCGGAAATCGAACTAGGATTTCCTGTAGTCCAGCCTAAAGCCCAGTCGATGCACTGACTGATATGTTCCGCATCCTGGGCCAATAAATAAAATCAATTTTACTCTGAAACGTTGGCAAACTTATAGCAGACATTAAGGATCACGTCCCCTCCTTAAGCTCCTGAAGTCTGACGAGCTTACAGCTAGTGGTTCTTTGTATTTCCTTGATCATACTCCCTACACACTCACACGAAACACAAAAATATGGTATCACTTTTAAATAAATAAAATCTAACGTCTGGCTTGGTGCTACGAAAGTGACAGCCCTCAGAGGTGTAAACGCGGGAAACAAGTGCAGGGAACCGGAGCTGCATGTGAAAGAAGATAAGGGTCCCATCTGGGCAGCAAGGCGGAGAGACCGCCTTAACTGAGGGTGCTTTCCTATCCCTTGGGATCATGAGACGATGAATCTGTTACAGACGTAGCCTGCAGACATCTGGGAGAGGGAGATCCGGGATGTTCGTAAGATAGAAAGAAGATGGATGGAGGGAGAGCAGACGACACAAGAAAGGGAAGGAAATGGAGGAGATTTAACACAGCCGATGGGAGGTTCCCCCCTCCTGAGCCGGTCTCACACTGACGAGAACGCTTCAAGTCTTGTGCGCAGAGCTTGCGTTGGGTTTGAGGTCATCACAAGGGAGAGACTGAGTAGTATTGTCTTCAGGAATGTGACACGATGTAGTTCGATATAAATTCAAGGATATTCCTCCGAAACTTCGATGGACTTCTACCAGACCACACAGCGTCACATCCCAGAAAATACTACCCTCTATAACCCACTATTTTCTAACACTGGGGGAACGGAGGTGCAGCGATACAATTCTCAAAAATAAATCTGATCTATGAGATATTCGGCCCAGAGCGCAACGGTACAAACGGAAATATTGCTCCACTACTACGCCGTGCTGCTCTTTACTTATATTCCCCGAAATGTTCATCCCTGACATATCAAACTAGTTCTATAAATATGTACAGGAAGTTCAGCCACTGAAACCATAACTGTCTTGTCCGCCTGTCTGAATACTTCATAGAGTACAGATTCTATATCAGTCTTTTGGAATTCATACTTTATATCAGGCTCAAATGAAATCTTCGATTGAAGAAATTAATTTGAAGAATATTTTAGAATCGGTTTATCTGCAAAGAAACGCCGTGTTTCCGGTGCCAGAGACCAGCCGGTCGATACTGTTGAAGGAAACAATTGCTATCTACTCCGGCAGCGACATGAAATACATGAATACTCTCTGTGGGTAATACGCATAATTGAAAAAGAATGGTATCTTCTGGGATGAGGCGCCGTGTAGATCTTGTGTGAATGGACATTTCAGAGGAACTTATAGTCTCCATCTTCAGGGTAGAAAAATCCGCGGGCGAGGAACCAGCGTGAGCAAGTGGCTGTAGTCTGCATAAACTTATTGATAATGAAAACTTTACGTAAGATTACGGTTTCCGGAAGTGACGCCGTGTTGTCTGGTACATGTTTACTGACGTTCCTCTGAAACGTCTGTAGACGTTTAAACGGTGTTACATCTCAGAAGAGACAAGTCCTTACAATCACCGATGTGGGGTCTTCAGCTCTCAAACAACATAACTGCTGTACCACATCACACCAATTCAAAAAGTACATGGACATTTAGACATAATAGTGATTTATATAAGCAATTTGAAGAAACGAGGACATCAAATATTATTAAATTAAAAAGACTACAACGGGCAAGTCACGCCCAGCGTAAGGTAGGAAAGCGCATACCGAAAAAGATTCTGGTAAGCAACATCACTGGAGAGAGCCCTGCAGGAAAGCCGAAGAAATGCAATGGAAATAGACAGTAGAGAGATTTCGAAAGTGAGACGGGAAAAGATTTGGAGGCGCCATTCAAATGTGGCCAAGGCTCGACTTCGAAGTGTCGCGCCATCGAAGAAGAAGGAGGAGAAGGAAAAGGAGAAGAAGACGCCTAATTCACTCCATCATAATGAAGCAGTATTCGTAAGAATATCACTACCAGAATTTAAAGTAATTTAACATATAAGATGAAGGTTAGCCGTCGCCACAACAAATGATTTATAAAATCAGTATTTTAGAGGCTGAAATGTATTTCCTGCTACATACTTCGGTCCTCATGGGACCACCATCAGGCAGTAATATATAAATACGTCTGGGTCACTGAACTGCTAATATGGATCCATATTTGTTACACAGTATCATACTCGTAATACAGATTGTGACTAGAGTTACAATGTAAGTATTAAAAAGTATACCTCGGATATATTAAAAATACACTGTACTTTGGTTTACATTAAAAGTATTAAAAGATATATTAAAATTACATATGTCAAGTTTCAAGGTTAAATGGCCAATATAGTGTAAAGTGACGTCCTTAAGTTATATTTCGTGGATCCATGTTATTAAGCGTCCACGCTGTGGGAAGTCACAGTGTCCAGGAGTATGATGTGTAGACCGGAACAAGTATCACGCGTTACTATTTATGGGAGTTACTTTGTGACGATGTGAGTTAGCTGTAATACTTATGTATTATGGAAGTATGAATCAGGAAATAAAATTTCAATCTGTGAAATAACGACTGATTATAAATCAATTGTGGCGACGGCTAACTTTAATCATATATATTTATGACACACGACAGAATGCACACTGTGAAGAAGGCACTTTAAATTTAGGCTTTTAGCTTTAATTCTTTTATGTGTTTGCAAGAACATAAATAACTTTACACTTCGTGTCATTACCTACATTTCAATTCGTAACACTAAATCTGGGAAAAATGTTAATCAGTAACTTCAGTGGTTTGCCTGTTAGGCCACGCGGAATGCCATTCTTGGAGCCCCAAGCAGAATTATAGCCGTGGCCTCGGTGTGAGACCGGCCTAACCGAGCACAGGACGTGGAGTGGATGACAGAAATGGAAGCTGCTGCAGTGGGAATGATGCATGGCTCCGAGAACTCTTCAGACTCTTGTGAGCGTAGTTCGACTTTTAAAACGACGTTCAATCCTCTATCGGGGCTAACAAAAGTTCTATAACTGTCTAATTGTGAACTATCAAAACAGTTCTAAACTTGTACTGGGCAGGTGCTCATTTCGAATTTTGACTGGGACAACGGTTAATTAGACATGGGATTTTCGTGAATTTCCTCAGTCTCTTCACACAAACGCCGGAATTGAATCTCAATTATTTCCAAATAATTATAATTCATTATTCACCAGTCATTTGCCACCCGACGCTATATGTAGTTCGGGACAGATAGTAACTGCCTTATGGATCTAACCACAAAAATGTGTGTG